CGAGAAACACGAGTTCTCTCTTAAAGATCGTACATTTTTTTAGCTTTAATTTAACTCCGTTTTCTTTGAGCCGCTCGAGAACTAGTCGCGGGTGTCTGACATGATCACCAAACGACGCACTGAAGACGATGATATCGTCCAAATAGGGATCACAGATTTCGTCTCGTAAATCAGCTAAGGTTGTCTCCATGAAGCGTTGGAAGTTAGCAGGTGCGTTTGATAATCCAAACGGAATTCTGATCCATTCGTAAAGTCCTCAAGGCGTTATAAAAGGGGTGAGTGGTTGACTTTCAGGCTGTAAGAGTCCTTGATGGTACGCCTTGCCTTGGTCGAGAACTGAAAACCAGGAATTGCCACCCAAATTATCTAGAGTCTCTTGAATGCGCGGGATTGGGTGACGATCTACCCCTGATTTTTGTTTGAGCTCGCGATAGTCTACAACGTATTTTTGCTACTTTTGGAATACCTCGAGGAATAACAGGGTCTTTTTTGGGAGTTTTCACAAGGCATAGTTCGCCATGATTTATCTCTTTCACCAAGTCCAGCAACGTCACTGCGTTGTGGGTGTTGATCCCGACAAAACTGGTTAGGATATCGTTCTCCTGAAGTGTTCCCGAGTTGATCATGTGTTCTATAACATTAAAACCTACTAAAGGTAGTTCTAAGTTTTCTTGGGTTACCAAAAAGGGGACAGAAACTCCATTTGCAGAATCTTGGACTTGAAACTTTAATTCAACCCATCCCACGTACGCCATCTTACCACCATTAGCTGCTGTCAGTGTTAGGCCACATTCTAGTAGTTCACTAACATCTCGAATCGGAATGTTTGGAAAGGTTTTGCTAACAAAGTTTTCGGAAACGATTGATACCTGGGCACCCGTGTCCCATAAAACGTCTGACAAACACCATTAAGTTTCCCTCTAACTGAACACTTTCTACTGACTAAATTAATTAATTTCGCATACTCTTTTGGTGTCAAATGGCTGATATAAATGTGCGAGTCATCGTGTTGCATTGTTTCATTTTCCCTATGACTACATCTTTTCGTTTTGAATAGCGTCACACAATGTTTTGTGCGCAGTCCAATTTGTTCTTTGACATTCACGGTTACAATAATATACAAGTTTACAGTTTTTGCATCTAAAAATAGTTTGTCCTAGGTATTTGCTACAGTTATTGCATTGACTGGACAACTTATTATCTCCGGCTACTCCCTGTCCTGACCGCGGGATAGCCGTCTCTCGTTTCCCGAATTGTCCGCCATGTTTTTGTCGCATTCGGGTGCAATGTGGCCATATTTTCATGAGGTTATGCAATAACAAAGGTTAACAGCTACGGAACCAAGCCTCGTTACGTCGGCACATCATGTGACCAAAAGGGGGCCGGGCGAGTATGTAATAGGAGGTTGGCCGCGCATTGGTGGTATTAGTAATCATTGTGCGTTGGAAGCGTAGTAAACGTATTAGGAACAAAAAATTTAAAATTGGCTCGTCTTGCTGCCTACATATCACGAGAGTTCGTGATCGGGCTTCAGAGTTCAGACGGCAGTATCGCAGGTTTCTAACCGTACTGGCAGGGCACCAACGGAAGGAGCGTCGCAACTGGAGATGATGAGAAACCCACCGCAAGTTTCGCTCGTAAAAAAAAAAAAAAACCCAAAAAAAACAAATCCGGTCAGGTAGGCGATAGTTCTCTTCGCCAGAGTACAGGTATGTTTGTTGTTCATTTGTTGACGGTATTAATGTTGCGGCGGAATCCGAGACTATTCCCGCAGTTAGCAGCATGCTCGGCGGTGTAAGCTAAAATATAAATAAAAGGCCTACTCTGGGGCGGTAAATCGCCTTAAATCGCTGCGATATAATGGGCGATTTTGGGCGATTTTAGGCGATTTAAGGAAAAACTGGGACTTTGAAGCACTGCGATTTAAAGCGATTTTAGGCGATTTAATGCGATTTAAGAGAAAATTCTAAATTTTAGGGATTGCAATTTAGACCTGTTTTTTCAAGGTA